TCGATCGCCACGTGCTCACGTCGGTCCATGTAGCGGCGGTGGGCGCGAGGACAAAGTCCGCGCCGCGTTTGCCTTGTACGACTACAACCAAGATGGCGTGATTTCGCTCGACGAAATGGTTCGGTATGTACATACATCGTCGCGATAAACGACCCTGTCGATCCATGCTGTTTTGGCGGCCCCGTCAGGATGGATCGAGGTGGAATGGCAAACGTTTTGACGCGAATTCTTGTAGATATTTGACAGCGGTGTTCAAGGTGCTGTTCGCCACGAATCCATCTTTGCAACCACAAATGCAAGTCACGCCGGAAGAATTGGCCCAAGTGACTGCAGAGCAAGCGTTTTTGGAGTGCGACATCAACCAAGACGGCAAGCTAACGCTAGACGAGTTTCAAGCATGGTGCACGAGAGATCACGTTTCGCAGTGGACCTGTCCTAACAACATGCCTCGGTCGATAGGTACACGCAATCCAAGAAACAAACAAACACGGCGCTGGCAATTCCCCTTCCGTCGCTGGCCCAAGTTCGCCACTTCACCGATTTGAGCTCGTGTGCTCCGGCTGACGTCGTGGAGCGCTTCCGAACGTTTGCCGTCGATGGGCAATTGACCCGAGAAGCGTTTACACAAGGCCTCCACAGCTTTGCCAAACCAAGCGCGACTGGGTCAAGTACTGTCGATGCCGTCGCGAGTCGGCTCTTTGACTTGTTCGACACGAATGGCAATGGCGTCGTGGATTACACGGAGCTTGGAGCGGGACTGTGCGTTTTGTGCGGTATGCCTCGTCGAATCATGACCTTGTTTTGGGTTTATCCATCGTGGGGATGACGTGTGGGCATTCGAGCGTGGTGGTCGTTCTGCCGTCGATCGCCAACGTGGCCGAAGAGTTGTTTTTGTTTGATTGGGAATGCCCGTTTGGAATTCTTGGCAAAACACGACTTGCCAGCAACGGCCGGACGCGATATTCGTGTGGAAGTGGAATTTCTTGTCACCAGACCAGCATCACTCAGCAAATATGCACAGGAGGGTCGCAAGAAGAGAAAATCCGCGCAGCCTTTGCCCTCTACGACCTCAACCACGACGACACGATCTCGCGCACCGAAATGGCGCTGTACTTGTCGTCCGTTTACAAGGTGCTGCTCGAAGCGAACCCAGAGACCAAGCGTCAGATACAAGGTACGCCGATTGCATCCACACTGGGCTGTGGCGCGGTGCAGCGCAAATTCAAGAATGAGCGTGTGGTTGCTGTGTGTGCAACTCGATCAATCACGACTGCGACAATTGCACGAACGAATGGATGAGTGACGATGGGTGGCATGGATGTAGGAGCTGGAGTGACACCTGACGAGTTGGGAGCCATCACGGCCGACCAAGCGTTTGCCGAAGCCGACAAAGACCACGACGGCGTCCTCACGTTCAACGAATTCCGAAGGTGGTACCTCACACCGAGTGCGACGCACATCAACTCGATTCAAATCCCCAAGTGGGTCAGCTTGCAAGCGGTCAAGGAGCTCACGCAGCTGCACAAGTTTGCACCGAGCCAAGTGTTTGCTCACTTAGCCGACCACATGACGGACCCCCGAGGTTTGGACCGGCCTACTTTTGAACGGGCCGTGGCATCGCTCGTCCCCGCTACAGTACGTTTGTGGTGGCCATCATGGTCGATTCAAAGTGACTTCGTCTGCCGTGATGGTCACACGATCGGTGCGCATAGATTAAGTCAACGCCAGAGGAGAAAGATCGCCTGCGCTTGGTGCTCGACCGCCTCTTTACCGTCTTTGACACGAACGACAACGGATTTGTCAACTTTCAAGAACTCGCCAGCGGACTCAGCATCCTATGCGGCGGGTCCCGTGCCGACAAAGTCCAGGCTGCATTTGACTTGTACGACACGAACAAGGACGGCGTTCTTTCGCTCGACGAAATGATCGCCTACCTGACGTCCGTCTTCAAGATCGTGTGCGAAACCAACACAGCCTTGTACCCATCGGACGCGACGCCACTCGACCTGGCCGAGGTACGTCCACAATGCGGTCGAGTGGATCGAGTGGGCACGATGACGTGTCTTTCGATGGTAGATCACGGCCGAGCAATGCTTTGCCCAGGCCAAGTTGAACCACGACGGAAAGCTGACGTTGGCCGAATTTGAAAAATGGTACACACAGGAACATGACGGCGACGAGCTCTTGACGAAAGATGCCATGTTGACCAACGGAACGTCCCCTTTGACGGACGCCACGACCTCGGCGTCGGGCATGGAGCGCATTCGGAACTTGCTCAAACTGAATCAGTACGAAGTCGGCGACATCTTTGAGATCTTTGCCGAAGCCGCGCCGAACGGAGAGCTCGGGTTTGCTGCATTTAAGCAATGCTTTGAGCACATGGTCGAGTTGGCAGGCGGGTACGTGGTCGCCGCGGCAACCCGTTCTTGACGCACGTTTGTTTTAGCTACGACTCACCGGAAGCCAAGCAGGAGGCCGCCGTCGTCATTCGCCGCCTCTTTTGTGTGTTCGACTCGGATCAAAACAACACGGTCGACTTTGGAGAACTCGCAAGTGGGCTCAGCGTGCTATCGGGATCGTCCATGGAGGACAAAGTGTTGGCTGCATTCCGGCTCTACGACATCAACGGCGACGGTAAGAAATGTGTGGATGGTGGAAGAGCCCTCTATTTGAAAGGAGACGTGTTTGAATTTCGCTCGACACGTATTGGTGATTCGTGCGCGAATGGGCCAAGCCAAACGCATGGAGTTGCCGCAGTGCGCTAATCTGTTTGCATGCAGTGAATGTCCCGACAAACTTGAGTTCACCGTCGTCGCTGCGTGTGTGTAGGGTACATTTCGCTGGACGAAATGATTAGCTACATGACGTCGATTTTCCGCGTGATGTACGAGACTTCGGACAAAGCGAAGGGCCAAATGAGTGTGTCGCCGCAGGAACTCGCCAAGGTGACTGCGATGCAATGTTTCAAGGACGCCGACCGCAACCACGATATGCGGCTCAGCTTTGACGAGTTCAAGCAGGTATGTTTCGACCACCGCCGAACCTTTTCGTTTGCTTGGGACGGACAACGACTCATGATGACGCTCCTAGTGGTGCACGTCGACCATGTGATCGACCAGCACCTTCGCCGTAGCATGCAGCGATCGAGATGAGTTGAACGAACGCGGTGTCAAATCTGTCGAACGCGTTTACACGGCCATACAACACGCATGTCGATGGTCATCGGCGACGGACGTACTACTAACACGTACTACTCGGCGGAAGCAACCGCTTGAGAGTGAATTTGCAGGGCGATTTTGCCACTGCCGCCGATCGTGATGTTTGGAGCACGAAAGATGTTTACCATGTTGTACACAGGAAAAGTCGACGACAGAGCCAGCTAGCCGCGGTACGCGACGGCAGGGCCATGATCCCGTGACGTTGAGGTTCGAAGGCAGTCATGATCGTTCGTTTTTGGCAGATTGGAGCACGAACTGTGCTGATCGCGACATGGCCGAGAGTGCCCACCCCCCCCAACTCCACTTCTCTCTCACACGTCGTCGCATGGCGCCGCAGACATCAACCAACTTTCCACCCACACTACAGCACATCAAACCCGAGTCAAATGCACTCGTCATGCAGGCAAAGCCTGTATGGCACGAACAACACACGAAGAGGATGGAGGAGAGTGGGTTGTTCATGTACGAGGAAGTTGTCTTGCTGCAGAGTTGTCGTGTGGTGCCTGGAGCGGAGTTGCTGCCGACGACGACGACGTGGACGACGATGCCGATTGCGGGCTCGATCGACCACCTGACGACGAGGTGAGCGAACGAGGGTAGTCGGACGGCGAGGTTGAATTAGACGAAGGTGGCGGCGCCGCCGGGAGAAAAGAGGCTGGTCGGTTCTGGAGCCACGGAAGAGCGTCTGGTCTTTTCAGCTGCGTTTCGTAAAGGGCGACCAGCACCTCGTGGGCTTTGATTGTTTTCTGGAGGACGTCGCGCTCCTCGACGGCGTCGTCGAGCTTTTTCTTTTCGATCTGAGCAAGCTGGTGCCACATGCTTTTCTGTGCCGCGGTCGCTCGCCGTGATTCAGCGACAGCTTCGAGACCGCGTAGTTGGCGCTCGAGGTCAGGCACGTCGCGGCGGAGCTGGTCGAGCTCAACCTGCTTGCGCTGGCGGTGGCGTTTGTTGTTGATGCGGTGCTTGACGCGACGCGTGAGTTTCTTGCGGTTCTCGTCGGACGAGTTGGAGAACTCCATAAAGTAGTCGAGCATCTTTTGGTCGGTTTTGCTCTGCGAGCTCGAGTCGGAGCTGAGCTGCTGTTGACTGTGAGTGGTGTCGCCACCACCAGCAGTGTCGGGCGAGTTGTTGTGGAGCATGGCTTGATGGTCCGAGCCGACGGCGTCCGGTGGTGCTTGATCAGAGCACAGCAACGCTGTTATTGTCATGGTTGGGCTGGAGGTGATCGCCGTGGTGGTGTCCGGTCGGCTTCTTGGCGGAGGTGACGCCCGAATTTTTATATTGTGGTCCGATTCGTGTGCCATGCCGGCCAAGGTTTATATTAATTTCGTCACCCCGGTATAAAAGTTCATACAAACGTCAAGGTAAAACATCAGACGGTTTATTAATTGCTACTTAATTATGAAACCCAAAATCAGACACTTTGGTCCTATTAATATCAGACACTTTGGATAACTTCGGACTTCGAGGGGGAACGCCCACCCAATCAAACGCGGCGGTTCTGAACACGCTTGAAAATTCGAAAAACTTCTTCGACCTCGGTATTGTCCCTCGAGAGCAGATTCGTTCATCCCGCTGCCAAGCACAGCCTCGATGTGAAGGCACACGGCGCCACCGCGCAAGTGCCCCTCGCGCGTTACGACGACACCCTGTTCTCCTAACGTTCCAGCTATGCCGCGTCGGAGCGGCTTCTATGTTGGCATAGATCCGGATACCTCCAATACTGAACTCAAGTCATTTTTAAGGTGCTCGAAACGCAACACCATAAACACGACGTGCCACTCTTGTCTGGCTGTGACGTTGCCGGGTTTATGTGACGGTGTTTGGGGGTGGGAACGTTTGGGGCGCGAGCAGGGCGGTTGCGTGGCGCTGTCGACGAAACGATGCCGTTGGGGCGAGTGGGGAAGGCCGAGGATCGATTGTTCGATCGATGAGGCACTAGCAGGTGCCCGCGCCCGGGGTCTGATGAAGGTTGTTTACTGTGGAGCTCCCCGCAGGCGCCAGGAAACCACCTGGGTTCCACAAACGCACAACCAATCGTTTTCCATCCATTTCCCTCCCCTGCGCTTCATGGGGGGGACGCGTTGGAGGTGTGGAAGTATGCATTGCCCCCCACTCGTAGGACGAATGTCAAGATTGAGGTGGCGCAAGAGGTTCCATTGAACAGTCGGCGCCACGGCCGACGCCCATCAGGGGGGATATTGAATCCCCTTATTGACGTCCTTGAACTTCGATGCTGAGCTGCTGTAGCATCGAGAATCGAAAGGAGGGGAAGCGCAGTCTTTTTCAGGTTTAAATCGGAAGGCTTCATCTTGTTCAAGGCGAATGCACTCAAAAGCCTTCATGCTGTGAACATTGCCAAGCATGTGAACTTGCGCCGTACGCAGCCTTCTGCTCTTTCAGACCTGCAAAGTCCCCCTTGCTTGCGATACAGTACAGCCCTCATGACGCAACGGCGACAAACAACTTTTTGTGAAGGAGGGCAGAGGGACTCCTGCGTTTGCGTGGGGCAGGATCACTGGCAAGACAACCCAGCCAGAGCTTCGACATGGATGTGACTTTGAAGAAAAGCGTCTGAGATGCAGAGGTCTTCTCCAAACGAGTTTGCTCGACCCTCGTATTCACTCAATTTTCGCTTCGAAATTTTCAACTGACTTCCTGACGTGCTTGTCGTGAAATGGTGCACTTTTGACAGGTCCTTGAACGGCACATCGTGGTTCCTACTGGAATTGGCACATCCACCACCACATCGTCGTCAACTTTCGGATGCTTCTTTGAAATGCAAGGCAAGAATCAATGCACCCCCCTCCCCACAAACTGATGCCCCTTTGTACCAGAGATATGTGCCCCCAACACAGCTCAGTTGGCGAACGTCTATCCGTTCGTAGCCAAGTTGGCAAGCTTTGAGGGACGAGTTGGGGGGGGGGTTATGTCACTTAAATCGCCCATACGCTTGCTCTGTCATGCCTAGATCGTCTGCGAACGAGTACTCACCACTCTCCACGGAGCCGCCAGTTTCCATTGCATTGGGGCATAAGCACAAGGGTGTATGGAGCCAAAAAGCTCCAAAGCAAAACATGGGTACAGATGGCCTGGTCGAGGTGGGCGTAGGGAGCGGCAGGATTTGAATTGCTCATGGCACCCCCTTCGGCATATCCCTTGCGCGCCGTCCACACGGTTGACTGTATCGATTGGCTGTACATTGGCATCGAGGGGGTTGCGTGGAAATGTCCCCCCCCAGGGCAAGCCAAGCACGTTGCTTCAACACGGCTCAGTAGAATTGAATGAATATGAGTACCAAGCGTTCCAACATCGATCCAACGGCAATGGCCTAATGCACTTTCGACCGAGCCATCTCGAGCGCGTCGAACCGACCATCCAATCTGCCAAGTAAACGACAGACAAAACCCTCCACCACACGTTGTAGTGAATCACGTCGGACGAATGGGCTCTGTGCACGACAATCCATCCTCTTGCTTTATCCCAATAGAGTATGGTCCGATTCGTATCCGGATCTCCGGATATATAGCTTGAATCAAGACACCAAAAACTTACCTTATGTCAAGACATGACATAGACAAAAAGCGAATTTTACACGTGCGCAGTCAAAGTCATAGGTATTCAAAACTCGCTGACAGGAGGGTGAGTGGGAGTGGGTTTTGGCACCGGGACAAATCAGGCGTGAAGTTTGGGTTTTGGGTGGGGTAAACAATATTAGGGTAATTAAATTCCGGATAAGAGCCACACATCCGTATAACGGGGTTCAATGCTTCACTTGATCCACAATGCCCCCCAACTTGGTTTGAATAAAATTGTATTGATTTTTGTATCGAAAAATCGCAATATATATAACCATCGTTTGTTGCAAGCTTTTCGGAATATCAGTATTTCTGCTTGTTGCAATTATTTTGGGACAGAGGTAGTATTTGTTTTCTGGCATGCGCGCGTCCTGCATGGCAACCCAATTCGATTGTCCGATCCCAAAATAGGATTCTCGTACGTCGAATTAGGATATCGCTCGG